ATCATTAATGTAACACAGGAGATTCAAAGTTATGGCCTTGATCCGAATGCAGTTCGTATGGCATACCAAACGTGAAGAAGAAATCACTAAAAGTCGAAGCTGAAGTTGTAGCTTCCTGATTTGGTATTGCATATGCCTCAGGGCACTTGGTGAAATAATCCATCCCTACACAAATGTACCTGTTTCCAGCACGAGTTTGTGGCAAAGGACCAGCAATGTCAATGGCTACTCTTTCCATTGGTGTGCCAACTTCATATAACTTCATTGGAGCACGCCCTTATGCTTGGGTTCCCTATTTAGCACAACATGTACTGCAGGTCCTGCATTATTCTTCCACATCTTGCCTCATACCTATCCAATAATATCCCTGTCGTAGGTGAATCAATGTCTTCTTAACTCCAAAATGTCCTCTTGTTAAACTATCATGGGATTGACACAGCACAACTTCCCATAACTTTCTTGGTATAACTGTTTGCCAGGTCGTCACTTTCACATCCCCACACAAATGTACCTGTTTCCAGCACGAGTTTGTGGCAAAGAACCAGCAATGTCAATGGCTACTCTTTCCATTGGTGTGCCAACTTGATATAACTTCATTGGAGCACGTCCCTTATGCTTGGGTTCCCTATTTAGCACAACATGTACTGCAGGTCCTGCACTATTCTTCCACATCTTGCCCCTTACCTATCTAATAATATCCCTGTCGTTGGTGACTCAATATCTTCTTAACTCCAAGATGTCCTCCTGTTAAACTATCATGGGATTGACACAGCACAACTTCCCATAACTTTCTTGGTATAACTGTTTGCCAGGTCGTCACTTTCCCATCTCTGGAGAAGAATACCATCTTCAAGCTTCAACTGGTCCCATTGTGCCCAATAGTTCTTTGTGACAGGACTTAAGCTAGACACCTTCTCCCAAGGAGGGCGCAAAACACTTTATTGTAGAAAATCAATTATCGGCTTAATTTCTTGGTTTTTCTCCTGTTCTGGTTTAATATCTATATTTAGTTCCACTTCACCATCATCAACTCCTTCAGTCACGTTGACTTCAGTTTGGTGGCACCTGGTTTTTTCGACCTCTCTTTTGCACCATTGTCTGCGGTCATTTTTGCAGGGTCTTCAGCTCAGTCCATCGGCATTTCCATGATATTTTCCTTCTCTGTATTCAATATCATAATTATACTGGTCTATCTTTCTGATCCAACATGGCAGTTGTCCCTCTAATTTCTTTTATGATCTTAACCAGTGTAATGCAGCATTGTCTGTCCTGATGATAAAGCTAGCCCCATAGAGGTAAGGATGGAAAAATGTCAGACTCTTTACTATAGCAAGGAGTTCCCTCCGTGTTACACAGTAGTTCCTCTCTGTTCTACTCCGGACCCTACTGAAGTAGGCTACCACATGTTCGTTTTCGCCTACTTTCTGAGACAACACTACTATAATTCCGACATTACTAGCATCACAATCCAGTA